TTCCACGGGCGGGATCGATGAACTTCCTTACCCCGCCCACCCACCCCGCCTCGAGATTCGAGGATCGAGGATCGAGGTCGAGATTCGAGGATCGAGGATCGAGGATCGAGGTCGAGATTCGAGGATCGAGGATCGAGGTCGTGGAGCATACCTGGCCCTGTGAGGGCCCTGGACAGTTGACGCTTCCGCCCCTTTCGAGGTCCCAGGGGCGCCCTCGTCGCCACGGCCGGGTCCACCTGCAGTCCTGGTCAGGACGCTCTCGTGCGTGCGTGCGTGCGTGCGTTGGGTGGGTGGGGCTGTGTTGTTTGATCTTATGTTATGTTGTGGTGTGGTGTGTTGTGTTGTACTGTGTTGTTTTGTGTTGTCGTGTTGTCGTGTTGTATTGTGCTGTGTTGTGTTTCGTTTTGTGTTGTGGTGGTGTGGTGTGGTGTGGCGTGGTGTGTCGTGCTGTTGTGCTGTTGTTTTGTGTTATGGTGTATTGTGTTGTGTTGTGTTGTGTTATGTTGTGTTGTGTTCTTTTGTGTGTGCGTGTGCGTGTGCGTGTGCGTGTGCGTGTGCGTGTGCGTGCGCGTGCGCGTGCGCGTGCGCGTGCGCGTGCGCGTGCGTGTGTGCGTGTGTGCGTGTGTGCGCGTATGTGCGTATGTGCGTGCGTGCGTGTGTGCGTGTGTGCGTGTGTGCGTGTGTGCGTGTGTGCGTGTGTGCGTGTGTGCGTGTAAGCGTGTGTGCGTGTGTGCGTGTGTGCGTGTGTGCGTGTGTGCGTGTGTGCGTGTGTGCGTATGTGCGTATGTGCGTGCGTGCGTGCGTTCGTGCGTGCGTGCGGGTGCGGGTGCGGGGACGGGTGCGGGGACGGGTGCGGGTGCGGGTGCGGGTGCGGGTGCGTGTGCGGGGCGGGTGGGTTGTGGGGTGTGGGTGTGGTGGGGTTGTGGGTGTGGGTGGTGGATGTGGTGTGGGTGTGGGTGTGGGTGTGGGTGCGGGTGCGCGTGCGCGTGCGCGGCGCGTGCGGTGCGGGTGCGGGTGCTGGGTGCTGGGTGCGGGTGCGGTGTGTGTGTGGGTGTGGGTGTGGGTGTGGGTGTGGTGTGGTGTGGGTGTGGTGTGGGTGTGGGTGTGGGTGTGGGGTGTGGTGCAGTCGCGCGATGGCGCGTGCGTGTGCGGGTGCGGGTTGCGGGTGCGGGTGCGGTGTGGGGTGCGGGTGGCGGGTGTGGGGTGTGGTGTGGCTCTGGTGGGTGTGGGTGTGGGTGTGGGTGTGGGGTGTGGGTGTGGGTGGGGGTGTGGGTGTGGGTGTGGGTGTGGGTGTGGGTGTGGGTGTGGGTGTGGGTGTGGGTGTGGGTGTGGGTGTGGGTGTGGGTGTGGGTGTGGGTGTGTGTGTGTGTGTGTCAGTGTCTGTGCCTGTGCCTGTGCCTGTGTCTGTGTCTGCCTGTGTCTGTGTCTGTGTCTGTGTCTGTGTGTTTGTTTGTGTGTGCGTGTCTGCGTGTATGTGGGTGTGTGACACTGCAGGTGCGCCTTGTGTGAAAGTGTGACATTCGGGACCATGGATTGCCCTCCATCCACAGTGCTGGGTGCAGGTGGAAACGACATCCTGACTATCGTCCGCTACGGTGATGTCGCCTGGCCGGAGGGAGGAAAGGCGTGCGCATGTGTGGACGAGGGTCGTTCCCAGTGCCTCTCGGGTGGACCGATCCCCGCGACACGCGCGCTCTGCGCCGAGCCTTGGCGGCCCCCTGGTACCCCCCCGTGTCGAGCTGGGCCTGCACACCGGCAAAGAGCGGGCACACGGGGCCCTGCTCTTGGACGAACGCGCAGCGAGGGGAGGAGGAGGAGGAGGAGGAGGAGGAGGAGGAGGAGGAGACGAGGAAAACGTGGAGAGACGCAGGAAGGGGAGGGTGGTGCAGGGGAAGGGACGAAGAGGCGGAAGAGGAGGAGGAGGAGGAGGGGAGGAGAAGGAGATGAGGAGGAGGAGGAGGAGGAGACGAGGAAACGTGGAGAGACGCAAGGAAGGGAGGGTGGTGCAGGGGAAGGGACGGAGGCGGAATAGGAGGAAGGAGGGGGAGGAGGAGGAGGAGGAGGAGCCTGGCTCGAGCATCAGCAGCGACGACCCCCAGCCCGAGCGGAAGCGGCGAGCAGCCAGCGAGGCAGCCGGCGGGCTCCTGACGAATAGGAAGGACGAGTCGCGGATGGCCTTGAGCCCCACTGTCGTGATGGTGTCCCACCAGCCAGGCCTCAAACCGGCCGTCGGACGGGCGGGGAGGCAGGGGAGGAGGGCGACGAGGAGGGCGAGGAGGGGGGGAGGGCGAGGAGGAGGAGGAGGAGGGCGAGGAGGAGGAGCGAGGAGAGTGGAAGGGCGAGGAGGGCTAGGAGGCGTGAGGGCGTGAGGAGGGCGACAAGGTGGATAAGAGAGGGCGACGAGGAGGACAGAAGAGGGCAAGGAGGAGGGCGAGGAGGGTTGAGAAGGGCGAGGAGGGCGAGGAGCTTTGCGGGGCGACGAGGAAGGGCGAGGAGGAGG